TACAAGTGTGCTTGTATAAAAGAGAACTAAAAAAAGAATTAGTTTTATATTCTGTTTCCCACAACTTGCTTTTGATAAACTCCCAAACGTCCTGTCTAGATATACAGATTATAGACTAAAGCAGTCATTTTGACTTCTCAAAGCCCCTTCTAACTCTGACTCTCCCATTTTATTCTAATTAGGGTTCATTACTCTTTAGAAAATGTATATTTTGTTTTCTAAAGCCAAAGCTTATTTTTAAATTTTCTTTCTTTCCTCCTCTAAGTGACAGTTAATTTTAAGATCAACCTTCAAGAACTCTAAAAGCATTTTGAAATTAGTGGAATCCTTCCTTTTTCTCCTTTGATAATTTCATTTCGTTATAATATGAAGATTATTAGAAGTGTAAACCTATAGGATATTTTTGAGAAATTAATATTGTTTTTAAAAATGGTTTCCACACCTCATAGATGTGTGTATGAGAATGTAAGGGAATGTTGAATATTTGGTAAGTAAAGTAAGTTTTTTTTGTGATTTTCTTTCCCCGCTTGTATCTTCAATTAACAATATGCCTTCTTTACTGTAACTTTGTACACCTCCTTTTTATTTTTTTTTTAATGAAAATATTTCCTTCATTAAAAGATTTTTCACATTTGCAAATTGGATCTTGGAGTCAGGTCCTGATACCAGCTTTGACTCTGAGAGTCTATTTCATGATTGGACAAGGGCAGGGAAGAGCTGCTGGGGAGAGCCGAGTTCTCTGAAGGATGAGTTGGTGCTGGTCAGGGCCTCTACTAACCTGAACAAGTTTTCCGAAAGGAAGATTTCCTGCCAGCCTCTCTGGAACCTTGACTCAGTCCCCAGGTAACATGAGATGGTCAAAGGTAGGGTTTGGTTCTGTGTTAGTGGAACAAGCACCTTGATATTCTTGCTGATAAAGAGGGCACACTACAGAACTCCAGCTTCTGGAAACTTTGGTGCTGGCTTAGGCGACTTAGAGACTGAAAACCTACTACAGGTCTTGGAATCCGGAGAGAAGTCCAGAAAGGGACTTGTCCATTGTGTCTCATATATCCGTTGGTTCCACTTGGCCACTATTGTATGTGTGTACTCCTTTTTATGATGTCAAAAGAAGGAAGGCTTTTACTCGTGACTCTAAAGAAAGGCTTCTTGTGTGTACATATAATCAATTTGTGTATGCATCAGCATGTTACAGCAGACTGGGGTCTTCTTGCCCCCCTCCCATGTGAGTGTTCCTCTTCTCTTTCTGTCAAGCAGCATCTGGGAATTTGGTTGTGCAAATCAAATCCGAGTTGCCTGTTTGCTAAGTCTTGAACAAGTTATATCTCTTGTCACTAGAGAAAGTACTACTAAATTAGCACCACTAAATAATTTTGGGGTGTGTGTATGTGTGTTCTATTTCCTTTTCTCTGATTATAAATGGTTTATACTCATTTTAAAAGTTCATAAATATAAAGAAGAATAAAACCCTCTTGTAATCTTCTTCTCTGTAACAGCCTCAGTTAACATGATGAAATGAGTGCTTACTGTCGTGTTTTCTATGCATATCAGATTTTATATAGTTGAAATCAGACTATATATAAATTTTCATTTTAGTTTTTTAAATATTCACATTTTCTTATGCTATTAACATTTTTCATATATCTAAAAAATTGATTCTAGGAGAACAATCATGTTTTTAAGGGTATATTGAGTCACAAAATTACAGGAGATCTATTTTGTGCATTTATTGAATTTTTAAAATAATACCAGTGAAAATTACTGTGCTATAGCTAATATACTAGTAATTAGTCATATCAGCTTCCTTTAATTATGGAAGTGAAGCATTTAAATATTTGACTATAAATAAATTTGCAATGCCAACTCACTGACTCATCATTGAATGGTAGCTGAATTGCTTCTAATGTTTTGTCCTGGATGTAGAACATTGTTTCTTAACCTTTGTTTGGTCACCAACTCTCTGAGAATTCAGTGAAAACTATGAACCTTCTTCCCAGAGAATGCATATTCACACAAAAAACTAATTGTAATGATAATCAATTATGATATGCCAGGCGCTCTGCTAACTGCTTTACATGTATTTCATTTAATCCTCATAGCAGCACTATAAGGAATGTACTGTTACCCTCATTTTTGAGGTAAAGACAGTGAAGCTTTAAGGAAATTTAGTAACTTGCTCATGCCCATAGAGCTAGTAACTGGGGTTCAGTCTCTGATTTTTATAACCCCAAAGCCTATCCCCTCAATCATTGAGCACCTAATTTTAGGGAGCTCATAAATTCCTAAAGCCTGCTTATTGATACTCATGTAAGGATGGCTTACATTTTGCAATCCAGAGATTTTCATTGGCGGTGAAGATTATGTGTGATTAATGAATCTTGCTATTTTTGTAACTTATTTAATATATGAGTATGTGTTGAACATCTACTATTCTGAATAACTTTTTAGGTTCTGTGATATGGTCCTTATCCCTAAGGAGTTTACTATCTACATGGGAAGACAAGAATTATATACATAAAACAATGATAAAAAATACAGATATGAAGTTGAATGTACAGTAATTAGACATTTCCATAAAGCTATACATGAAAATTAATCTCTTTACTTTGTCATACCTTGATGCAATTATCATTCTTTGATTCCTTGATTTATAAAAGCAAAATCAAATCTAAAAGGCCACCATGTCTTCTGGGAACCTGGAAGATTCAGTGTGTCATAAAAATGAGGTCTATAAAGTGAGACTCTGAGAACTAAATATGTATCACATCCAAATTCCTGAGTGGTTTCATCAGCATCATCTGTTAGCCCCAGGGAGCATGCCCAATAAGGAGATTGAAGAATGTGTGGCTAGCTCTAAAGCTTTCAAACCATGTATCACAGGGTAATTCTGTTGAGTTGAACATGTGTAGGGCAGCAGAACACCTTAATAGTTGCTGCATTTTGATTCAAGTAGGGTTCCTGCTGACAGAGAGGACTTCAGTACTTCAAATGATGCAGCATAGCCTTGAGTCATGCAGGAGCAATAGTGATAATCTGCCATCCTTAGATGAAACCCTCTGGCATGGGAAGTTTATTTAAGCTGGCCACCTGACAATCAAGTCTGTGAAAGGGGTGGCTGTGGCTATAATTCAAAGAACTGCTTTCTATAGGACCATAGTATGGGAAAGTTGTACATGTGACTTGAGTGGCTGCTGTATACGAGGTTATCACAGATAATGGCTGTTGTAAGATTTGAAAGATGGATTATGTCAAGCTTCCTATTAACACGGCCCTCATCAAGTATTTTTACAGTTTTAGAATTTTACTCTTTTAAAACTTTAATTATTTGGCCTTTACATATGATAGAATTAATTTATAAATGGCATTTGAATTTTCTTTTCAAAGCAAATAGAAACTTAGTGCTGCTAATCATGCTATATAGTTTATCTCCTTCCATTTATGAGTCATTTTTATTTGAAATGTATAAAATAAGAATATTTTGTATACAGTTGTATAATACATTGGTGCTGTATTTTAATTGGTTTAATAAATTGTTTTAAATTTCATTTCACATAATATTTCCATAATCCTGCAACTTAATTTGTTAGCATTATTTTTTAAAGTGGGGCAAGGATTTTATAAAAACCTGTTATGTTTAAGAAGCCCCTAGATGGAAAATATTTTTAAAGAACAGAAATTCCTATCATTCTTCACAAATCATCATTTGAATCTATCTAGCTACTAGTTTGGGGGAGTAGTTTTCCAGACATATATGCAGATATCTGGATGGATTTTATTTAATTTCAAAAGAAAAATGTGATACCAACTTTCTATAATTTCTTAAATTCATTCCTGGAGAAAAATATAATTGAAAGCAAAACATTCCTTTTCGCATTCACGTTGAGCAGAGACTTAGTTGGTTTTGAGGTGAATAGATTGATGTTAAATGTCCATCACACTTTGGCTTCACAGAGAGAATTCAAGGCATAGTAACTGTCCAACTTTTGAATTTGTTCTGTGTGTGTGTGCGTGTGTGTGTGTGCGTGTGTGTGTGTGTAGGGGGCTTAAATAAGACCTTTTGATTTCATAATAAGCAGGGCTTAGGGACAATAAAACTTGACATTCTTAACTGTGACTAGTATTTGTCCCTATAGCCCTATGCAGTTGTCTTCTTGTTAACGATGTAGAAGCCCGAGTCATAAACTGAGCATGTACCCAAGGCGCTACTGTAAATTGCAAATAGCATTCATGTGGTCTCTTTGACCTAGACTAAATTGGGATAGAGGAAAGAGAAAAAAGAATTTTCGAGAGTGGAATAGAAGTAGGAGTCAAGAACAAAGTTTACACTAGAAGGATGGACGTGTGCAAAGGTTGTCTAAGTTTTTGCAGTAAGATTTATTTAGATGGGCCTTTTCATATCTGCAAATACTCCTTTGCTTAAGAGCCAAACACTAGATTGGGGCAGCCTCTGCTGCTGGGTGTGTGTGTGTTAGCAATAATGCACTCATGAGATAATACAAATAATCAGTGAGGGAATAATTAATGATGTGGCAGGGAATATTTTTTGATAAATGCTTGGGGAATGAGGTGACAGGCGTGAAATTAGAAAATTCCTTCAGCGATCTAAAATATAAATAGCTTTCGGAACTGAAAAGAGTTTCACAGCTGAAGATTTTATTGTGTTGAGAGGAAAAACTTTTTTCTCTCCCCCACTCCCTCCTCCTTTGCAAGTTGTTTGTCCATTCACAAAACAAATACTCTGAAGCCTAGTGCGGCTCATGGGAATAAATTTCAGGTCGAATTAGTACAGTTTCCTTGCTGTCAGGATGCTGGAATTAATGGTGTTTTGATGACACGAATTTTGAAGGGCAAACAAAGAAGCTGAAGGGAGAGAGACATGACTCCTTAGAAGCTTGGTCCTCCTCTCCCCCAGCCTCTCTTGTCTTCCCTGTCATCCGTCTGCCAATCTCCCTGTCCATGGTTAGTTAAAGGCGCTTTTTATCCTCCTTTCTTTCCCACAGAGTTTGCCAGATCCGGCCCGGTGCCTGGGTTCCAGGAGGACACGCTGCAGTTGGCCTTCATCGACTTGAGACAAGTAAGTCTTTGTGTTTTTGTTTTTTGTTTTTCTTTTAAGATGTGTGACTGGAGACCATCAGGTCTTAAGGAAAAGGGGAGGGGTGGGGGATTGGCGTTGGCGATTCACAGTGGAGACCTAAGGGTTTTTCCCTGTGTTTGAGGCCACCTCTTTTATTTAGCTATCTGGGATCCTTAGCTATGGTGGAGTTAAAGGTTTTGTGGGTAGAAGGGAAGGCAGGAGGTGGGAGGAGGGACCCAGAGAGTAGAGAGACTCAAGTGACCCTCAAGTGATGTGACCCATTGTGCTATAGTTGGCTTCTGCAGACACAGCAAAAAGATAACTCAGCAAACCAATGCTAAGCAGGTGCAGTGATGCAGAGACTGCCTGCCTGGAGAACTTTTGTTTGCAGAGAATGAGGGCAGCAGCACTTAAGAAAAATGAAATAGTTTATATTCTGGATTGTTGGTTTGGTTTGTTGACTTTTTTCTGTTGCCTAAGTCTTCCCATCCCCTCCTTTGTAGAATGTGGTCAGCCACGAGTGACTAAGTGGTCGTTTTAGAAGATGATTAGTAAAGGCCCTGACCAGTCATGCTAACCTAACAGGGAACCCTATTTAATGTGATGAAAGCTGGTTCTTAGGCATACCTGAGCTTTACAAGCCCATCAGATAGAAAGAGTCGTTCCATAGGGCTGTTGCTTGCAGATTGAAATGGGTGGGTTGGTAGGCCTTGGTGGTTTAAGTATAGAGGAGCAGGATGGTCGGGGGCCGAAAAAGGGAGAGAGTTAACTGGGCTCTGTCATCTCTTCACTCTGAAGATGGATGGGGTTGGATAGAAAGTGTGAATGAAGTAAGAATCAATGACTGATGCTTCTCTCCTATTAAAACAATCTTTTTTTTTGTCTGTTTTAAAAAAGGGGCTGGCTTTGTTTCTCCTGCCATAATGATGCAGTGCCTCTTGTTTTCAGAGCTGACATAGTTTGCATTCTGAAAACTTTTAGATGCCCAGGGTATTTCTTAAAGCCGTAGGACCCCTTATATCGGTAGTCTCCTTACCACTGTGACTCGATTCATGCTGGAACAGCTTTTAACCCATAATGGATGGCCTGAGCTACCCCTGAATCCTTGTGGATGGGTAGGTAATCTGTCATCTGATGACAATTCTGGAAAGCCCTGTTAAGCAGAAAACAGAAAATTGTGTCTCTATAGACCCGCCAAAGTTTGAGGATTCAGGCCGCGTCCCAGAAACGTGTGTCAACTTAATATTTGGGGGCCGAGGTGGGAGTTCTCTTACACATAAAGGCTTTCTCAGCATGGTCACAAATGGAGCTGAGTATCTTTCCACACTTAAGACCTTCCACCTGTGGATTCAGCAATTCAACTGAGACATTCAGGCTTAACCCCTTGGCTGATGTAAGACTGAAAGATTGGGATTTTGCTTTAGGGTTTTGTGGAGTGGTATCTGTTGGACTTTTCCTCCCTGTTTCTTCTCAGAAACTTCTGAGCCAATAGGCTTTTCTTGGAAAGCAGAAATTGAATTTCATTGGAGAAACACATCCAAGGAAGAATTTTTCCCTTCTCACTATTCATGAGAAGAAAGTGTGGTCTTTCTCTCTAGTTTGTGGTTTTGGTCCCTATGGAAAGCAACTAGTGTTCACAGAAAATGTTAACTAAGGGAGTAAGTTAGAAAGCACAGCCAAAATAAGGTGGATCTGAGCCGGGAGGGAATGCTCAAGTACTTGTGAGCTCTCAGAGGGCACTGTTGTTTATGCTTAAGTTCCTATTTTCTATTACATTTCTGTTCTTGGAGCTCCTTTTATGAAGTTTTAGCAGTGGAAACCAAAACTCCAAAAATTTAACTAATAATAAAAGAGTATGCCTCTTCCTATTGAATCTATCACCTAATTCCTATTTATTTCTGTCTCTATTAAAGCAGCTTAAATTTTTCTATCCTAGATCATTTGAAAAATTTTTCAGCTCTTTGGCTGTAGCTCATTATTAGCAGGCCTCAGGTGGGTTGAATCATTGTGAGAAAATTATGTTTCTACATTCTATGCTGAAAATATTTATCTGTTTACAGTTCATCTTAGTCATTCTGATAACTTATTTAAGTGTCAGCATCTTTTTAAAAGGAGACTTCTTCTGAACTATAGAGATGTTCAAACTATAGATAGAAAACCTAGGAGTATATTTGCAAAGGAGATATCTTGACCTCAAATGAGGCGTGACTAAGTGTCCTTGAATATATGTCCTTTTGCATATACTCTTCGGAATCCTAAAATAGAGTTATGGAATTTGGGGGTTGGGGGCTAATCTTAAAAATCATGTGGTATAACCTTTGCTTGATACTTGAAAGCCTATACAGCATCCCAGACCGTGCTTGAATATCCTCCTTGAGGAGAACTCATTGCCCCAGAGCACAAGGTCCATCTTAGGACAATCTGATTGTTAGAAAAATATTTCTCAACTTGGCTAAAATCTGTCTCACTTACCTTCAACCCTTTGACTCTTTATATTTTTATTAACGCATCCCCAAGTTGGGGGATGGGCCTTCTATCCTGATTTATTGAGCTTCCTATTTGCTAGTAATCAAGTCTTTTTCACATGTAGCATTATTACCGATTCCTCATCCAGTCTTTATATGGTCGATTTTATGGACCAAAATTGGAAACTTTGGTCTACGTTTTTCTTTTAGACATATTATTAACAACACAGATATTTATTCTAGCCTATCCACACATTTTTAGGTCCTGATTCAGTTATCCAGCTCATTAACTGATTTAACCATTATGCCCTTTATAAGTCAAAGATAACAATATTAAACAAGAATGGCATAAGTTAAAGAAAGAAGTTAAAGTTAAGGCAAGTTATATAAACACTCATGCAAGAAAGGGATCTGTCTCCAGTGCAGTGCAGCAAGGATATTCTTTTACTGTCATTGAGTGTATTTGCCTCACTGGTTTGTGAGCATATTCATCTGATCATGCTTTCATGTTCTCTTGCTTTAGAGTGTTTCGGACACTATCAATTGAATGATAATTTTTAAAATATTCAAAACATGCAATATTTGATGAAATCATCTCTGTTTAGACTATAATAGCAGAGTGTCATTTAAAAGCTATAGAATTTCATTAGCAAATAAATTAGATGTAGATAGCAAACCTATTCATCCTTTCTCACCTGTCCTGTCTAGTCTTAATTTCCTATTTCTTAAAGAAAAGAGTGAAATGACATTTTGAATATACAAGCTTTCATGATATTTTACATTTGTATAGCAGGTAAAAGTTAAAGTACATTTATATACATATCTCATTTGTCAGATTTCTGGGTTTAGAAAACCTGCTGTTAATAATAATGTGAATTAGACAGTACAAATCAAAATCTCCTTTTTTGCCACTTTATACTTTCTACATTTCCAAGTTCATAAAAGTAGGATTGTAGTATGACTTCACATTCATATATCTAAAATATGTGCAAATTTCTATGAAAATCCAAATTTGAGTTAATGCTAAATCTTGAGAAGGACAACTTAAGGACTCAGTTATTAACTACCTTGGAGTGGCATGTACACTCCAAGTACTAATAATTGCTGGCCTTTAATGGTTCATAATTGGGAATTACAATATAAGGCCAATAGTAGATTCTCAATAGTTATTTGATTCTTCAGCAGTAGTACGGTTTGTATTTTTCTTCTGTTGTTAAACATTAAGTAGATATTGCTGATGCATGCCAGAATTTGAACTTTAGTTGATTTGCATTTCAGTTTCTTTTATCAAACTCTGAGTGCCTACTATGAACAGAGCACAACTTAGGTGCTGTGGGAATACACAAATGAATGTAATAGAGTCTCTGTCCTCCAGGAGCAAAGAGGTGATCAGCAAATACTTGATTCTAATACAAGGCACATTGTGATGAGTATTACTTTGGAAGGATAAAGCCATTGTGTATGTTTCAATTATTTCAGCAGCTTTTGCTGCATAACAAATTACCCCAAAACGTATTGGCTTAAAAAAGAACCATTTGTTTAGCTCAAGTTTCTACAGATTGGCAATTTAGGATAAGTTCAGTGGGCTTACTCATACTTTGAGGTCAGTTGCCAGATTGGCTGGTCTAGGATGCCTTAGCTAGGTCCACTCTTCTCTGCTGCACGTGATCTCTCATCCAACCAATAGCCTAACCCAGGCTTATTCACATGGCATCTTAGTATTGTTCCAAGAGAGCAAGAGGAAATGTACAAACCCCTTGAGGCCTACACTTGGAACTAGCAAACCATCATTTCCACCACATTCTGTTGGCTAGAGCTGGTCACAAGGCCAGCCCAAATTCAGGTAATGGGGACATAGACTCCAGCTGATACTCTAGTTGCAATACAACACTTTTATATAAATGATGCAAAATAAACAATGCAAATCAGGAGTAAGATTGTATCTGTAAATGCAAATTGGAGAGGTCTTTGTCGGCCTACGTAGTTACTAAGTATTTCATGAAAAAGGTAGAGAGTTAAACTGAAAGAAAGTTAGGCACTGATAAGGGAAGAAGGTATTTCACGCATAGAAAATAGCTGGTTTTAAGATTTGTTTAAAAACGTGAGTGTGTGTGTGTGTGTGTGTGTGTTAATTTAACTAGACTCTAGACTGTCTTTCCTCTCAAGTATTAGGCTAATCTCTTTAAATCCCCATTCCTTAATTTCTCTTTGTTCCTTATTTTTACTGTTCAGCTTCCTCCTGGACCTCTTTTTTTGTATTCTATACTTCTCCTCATCAAATGCTGCTTATTGCGGGCTACTCTGTAACATTTCACATTTCTGTTATTCACATTTACTATGAGGAAATCTTAACTTCCCCAGATAATTATTTTCGTTATTTATTTAATTTACGGCTGTTCTCCTTACATATTTGAGTAGCAGGAAAAGGTTTCAGTGTGTTCTTTTCTTTAGCAGCATCACATTATTTTCTGTTCCGTGGCCCTAACTGTTATTTACCTGCCATATACGTAAGTTTTTATAAAGCTGAATGAACTA